ACCATATCTCCGAGTTTGAGTTGGGTGCACAGCGCCAGGCTATTCTCATCTGTTGCATGCATGTTTGAGTGTGGATTTGCAAGACTGATTTCACTGCACGGGAATACAGGCCCAAAGTCAAAGTTAACCCATAGGAGTCCATCATGGCCATCGATCAGATGCATCTCAAAGGCTGTCTGAGGCTACCCACAATATTCCGGGCCAAGTGGGACAGAGGGAAAGCATGGGACAGCGCTGCTGCATCCAGGCCATTGACTTTCAGATAGTCTGGGCCGTCGACCCAAGGAGGCTGGAGGCTGGTCAACGCGAGTCAGCACTATATAGAGCTGACGCAGCCACTGTGGAGATCATTCTGCCTTGCATTGGCTTGCGGCCAAGCTGCTGTGCGCGAGGCTACGGCGAGAGGCTGCTGGCGCCAGGCTGTGAGGAAGGGTGCCAGCCAGAGTGTTGTGAAGAGAGAGAGAGTGGGCGGCCATGGCTGCCATTGTACATGTTTCTTGTGTATGGCGAGGTGGTGAAGAGATCAGGCTGTGAGACTGGAGAGGAGATCGTGGAAGGGATTCTTACCTTGTCCTACCTGTTGTTGGTGTGGTCACACTGCGGCTGTTCTTCACGTTGACAGAGGAAGGGACTTGCCAACCTGCATAGCCTGGAGGAAGGGAGGTTGTGCGCCCTGATTGATGCTGCACAGCGACTTCATCAGCCACATGTCACATTGAGAGAATCCTGCTGAGGTGGCGCTGAGGGAGATGCGCGAAGGAGGAGAGGGAGAGCAGCATACTTGTATTATTGATTGTTATTGTAATTCTCCTCTCTCTCCTCATTGTCTATTCTCCCTTCTTGCTCCTCTCTTTGAGGATTCACTGGCTTGAAGATTCAATCACATGAGACTCAGACCTACAGTGTACTATTTGATATGCGCTGGTTCCAGACATTGATATTATTTCATATACGCGGTTTCCAAACATTGCTATTTGGTTGATTGCTTCTCAAGGAGACTGGGCTCATTGCACACCCAGAGCCTCTGGAGGTCATGGCCTTTGGAAGGTAAACCGTCAGTCCCTGCCGGTTACACCATTTCAAAAGACAAATGCTCCAGAACTCAATCACGACTACAGATCACACACATGCAATGGATCAGAAAAGTCGGAATATAATTTCTTGAAGCCTCCGCCGGATAAATCTGGGTCGCGCGGGATCACAAAATTACAGCTGTTTGAGGAGGCAGCTGGAGGCATGCCCAGTTGAGTCAACACTTTGAGCGACCGGTCTACCTCAGCTCAGTCGTTCATTCTCCCTTGTGATGTAGAAGGCTGGAGCAGTGCTGCTTCTGCAGTAGGCAGCCGTTTGAGGAGGCAGCTGGAGGCATGCCCAGCTGAGTCAACACTTTGAACGACCAGCCTACCTCAGCTCAGTCGTTCGTTCTCCCTTGCGGTATGGAAGGCTGGAGCAGTGCTGCTTCCGCACTAGGGCTGAAAGAAGACACACACGGCAGTCGACATGAGGTTCATGGATTGACCGTAACATGGAGCAACCAAGTGGAAATCTAGCAGCAGAACTGGCAGTTTATCGTAGTTGCATATTTTCTTCTGCAACCAAAGAATCACTTCGATCAACCAAAGCTACTTTCAGCAGCCTAATCATTGTATGGGTTTTGCTCAACCAGATAATAGAGATTGGAAAATGCAATTTAATGCATAATAAAAGTAACGCCCAGGGCCGAAGTAACCATTATTCCTTGGCTTCTCAAGTTCTCCACTCTTCTGTGGGAAAATTCTATTCTAGAACCAAAACATAATGGTGATGGTCCTGAGTGGGTATGCCACTGTGCTACCTTGGTGCCTCCACATGGGTTCATACTACTTAATAGTAACTTCATACTCCCGAGGTCGAGGTTACTTCCTCGCCGGAGTGTTTTTTGTTGGTACCACATGCATAGTTCCCTCCCTCCCTTGCTGTGGCACAAGTGATTGCTTTTATGTTTGCTTCCTTACTTCTCACTCGCTGAGTTGTTTTCTGTATTAGAACTGAGAGGAATGATCGATGGCTGCATGTGACTGCTTGCAGTTGGCCAGGGCAGCAAGGGGGATTTTGGAGGACCTTAAAACAAGGTGAGGGCTTGCTCCCTCAAATGACAACATATGTCTCCCTTCCTTGCTTCCTTCCTTCCTTCCACGACTTCCCTCTCCAATGTTACGTGCTCTCTTTCCCCCACCTTAGTCTGTTGGATGTTAGAGTCAGTAGGACCCAAAGGTCAAGAGGTGTAAATATTCAGAAGCGAGCGAGGGGAGGGGGATACAGCAATAGGTAGGCAGCTCAGTGAATGGGTCGATGTGTGGATATTGTGCAGGGAAGCCAGGACATGTTTGGGTCTGCTGATGCCAGAAGTCCCCTGATCCAGAAGGGAGAGGAAGGGGTATAGAGATAGATAGGTAGTTAGGTGGGTATGGCGGTGGGGTTGGGGCATTGGGTGGGTATAGAGAAGTCCAGATATTATGTGGCTGTGGCAGGTGCGTTTGTGTCCAGTGCTGTGAAGCTGCACTGCACATCCCATTGGGGAACAGCCTAATGCTGCTGAAGAAAAGCGAAAAGTTTCAAAGACTGCCATGCATTTCAGCTCCCCAGAGAGTCAATTGCCCTCTCCGATTTGATGATTGGCAGTTGATAGTGTGCCTGCACCCCACAAGGCAGAGGCCTGGTGCTTCACACCCCCCAAGACCTGTAACTACACAGCCATGTTGTGGACCTAACAACGACATGTGGAAACGTGCATTAAATTCCCTGATGACTACCCGGATGTGCAACCCCTTACACCATTCTACCCCATGTTAACAAGACAAACAAGCAACAATCCTTTGAAGACAACCTCATATGGTCCTCAGACACCCATGGGGGTCTGATACTTCTCAATAAGTCTGTTGGTTAGTAGTTTGATCAACTTTCGAAATTATCTCTTGTACGTGGCCTGTGGCTAAGTGGTTCAGAAGCGTAGCTGTCAATAAACTGATCATGAGTTCTATCCTGATGGATCCAATAATGGCTCTCTCTCTCTCTCTCTCTCTCTCTCTCTCTCTCTCTCTCTCTCTCTCTCTCTCTAT